GATCCAAGTAAAATGGAATCCTTGACAATTCCAATCTTTTCTCTGTTAATTGTGATGTTACTTATTGGTCCAGTTGTGAGGATTTTTGTGTTCTTTACATTGAGGTGAAATCCACATTGAATGCTGTAGTTTTTGGTCTTCATCAGGAAATATTTTAAGTCCTCTTCACTTCCAGCAAAGTTTTGTCGTCTGCATATTACATGCTGCTAATGAGTCTTCCCCCAATCCTGATGCCGTGTATATAATCCAGTTTCCTGGATTATTTGTCCATTATACAGATGAATAAATATGGAGAAAGGATGCAACCCTGAAGCACAACTTTCCTGATTTTCAATGATGCAGTATCTCCTTAATCTGTTTGAAACACTGCCTCTGGTCTATGTACAGGTTCCTCACGAGTGCAACTAAGTGTTCTAGAATTCCCATTATTTGAAATATTGTCCATAATTGGTTACAACTCTCACATTTGAATGCCTTTGCTTAGTCAATAAAACACAGGTAAACCTCTTTCTCATATTCTCTGTTTTCAACCATGATCCATCTGATATCAAGCAATGATGTACCTTAGTCCATATCCTCTTTTGAATCCAGCTTAAATTTCTTGTCAATGTATTGCTGCAACCATTTAAAAATTATCATCAATAAAAATTTACTTGCATGTGATATTAGTGATATTGTTTGATACTGTCCACATTCTGTTGGGTCAACTTTCTTTGGAAAGTTTCTCTTACAGTTGGTTGGCCAGGTACCTATCTTCCAGATATCTTGACATAGACAAGTGAGCGCCTTCAGCAACACATCTGTTTATTGAAACTTTTCACTTGGTATTGCATCAACTCCTAGGAGCCTTGTTTTACAGTAATGCATTGGACTTCCTCCTTTAATACCATTGGCTCTTGATTATATGCTACTTTCTCTCATGGTTGAATGTCAGCCAGTTCTTTTTGGTGCCATGAATTTGTGTGGTCCTTCCATCATCTTTTGATGCTTCCTGCATTATTCATAGTTTTACCCATAGAATCCTCCAATTATGCAACTTGAGGATTCAAGTTTTCCTTCAGTTCTTTCAGTTTGAAAAATGCTGAGTCTGTCCTTCCCTTTTGGTTTTCTAACTCCAGGTCTTTGCATATATTATTGTACTACTTTGTGTTCTTGAGCCGTCCTTTGAAATCTTCTGTTCAGGTCTTTTGTACTATTTGTATCATTTCTTCTTTTTACTTTGGCTGATTTATATCCTAAAGAAAGTTTCAGAATATCTTGTGACATCCACTTTGGTGTTTTCTTTTTTTCTTGCCTTTTTTGTTTCTTCATCTATGATGACCTTGATGTCATTCCATAACATATCTGGTCTTTGGTCGTTACTGTTCAATGTATCAAACTATCATTCTTGAGATGGTCTCTAAATTTAGATGGGATATACTCAAATCTTATTTGACTCTTGTGGATTTATCCTAATTTTCTTTTGATTTGAGAATATACTTATAATTGATTTGAGAATATATTTGTATAATATTCAATTTTATGATGGTTGCTTTTCTGTGATGTGCTCTCCTTAAGTTTCCTCAAACATTCAGTAAAGTATTTTTAAACACAGGAAGGAATTATTTCTGTGGCATGTCAGGAAGATTACAGAATGAAAGAAAGACCAGCTGGGGAGGGTGAGATGAAGGTGAGAACAAGAGTTTAGTGAAGGTGGGAAGCAAGAACCAGTAGTGATGAATAAGAATAGAAGGCCCAGAAATGTTGAAGAAATCTTGGGAATCCGTTAACATGCAATTTGGGACTCACTTAAATTTATATAAATTTCAAAGAACAAGCTTTCTCAGGCAATACTTGAGTAACCTTTATATGAGTGCTGAAGACTCAGATCTGTATTTTCTCCCCTTAACAAAGAACCTGCTGTCGTAGTAAAATATACATGGAGGAAGTGTGAATACCTTAGGACCCCTTGTGATACAGTGGTTAAGTGCTTGGCTGCTAACCAACAGGTCAGCAGTTTGGACCTACCAGGTGCTCTGCAGGGCAAAGATATGATGGTCTATTTCCAGAAAGAGTTACAGCCTTGGAAACCTTATGGGGCCATTTCTTTTCTATCGTGTAGGGTTGCTGTGGATTAGAACTGACACAATGGCAATGGTTTTGAATGGTGCGGCGCTGTGGGCTATTGTGTCAGACTGCAAATTCGTTTGAACTTCAAGGTCGGTGGTTCAAGCTCACCAGCTGCTCCTTGGAAACCCTATACAGGGTAACTATGTGTTGAAATCGAATCAATGGCAGTTAACAACAACAACAATCTTAAATAAGAAATCAGCTCAGCTTTAGACCCTTCTTCAACCTGACAAAGCTTTCCTCTCTAGAACTTCTCTCTGAATATTCCTGACATAACTGCTTGAGTATTCCCAGAGAAAATCAGCAAATAAAAACAGGCAGTCTAGAATATTCATGAGACATTAAGCCCAGGTTAATAGCTCAGACTATGGATTCAAATAGAACAAACAATGTTTCCTTTGACAATAGAGGGTGAAATCCAAATTATTCACCCACTGATTATTTGTGGCAAAACTTTAAATTATAAGCTGATATCCTTGCCACTTATAAATTTGTGTACTCTAGTAAAATACATAGTTAAGTACAATGTAGGTTACAACACTATAATTAAAGAACATAATGGAAGTAAACTATGCCACCCTTATCCTGAGTTTTTGCATCCCAGCATTTACTGAAGATATTAGTTACCTTCTATCCCTACAATCACAAGCGTGAAAAAGAGGGACTTTGTTTAGAGAAAAGACTAAAGGAAGTTTCTTTTATCATATTTCCCATCTTTGTGGCCTAGACTCCTCTCCCATCTCTAGATTTTTCAACGATGACTTTGTTTTTCCATTTGACTACTGTAGCCCAGCATGAGCAAAAGGGCTTGCTACACTTTGAAAAAGAAAGAAGAGAATTCAGGTCATCAGTAATGTATAGATAAGGTTTTCTAGCAAGCTTACAATCTTACAATGCCATGTTGTTTTTATATACTGTGGATCAAGACTAATTCTCCAAAGCATTGCTACTACCTTTACTGTAACTGAGATGATCCCGTAGTTTGAAATGTACCAACAAGTCTCTCTGAGAACCACCTACTATTGCTCCTTGCTGTTGTTGTTGTTGTTGTTATGTGCCGTGGAGTCTGTTCCAACACATAGCGATCCTGGATAGGGTCTCTGAGGAGTGGCTGGTGGGTTTGAACCGTGAACCTTGTGGTTAGCAGTTCAGTGCTTATCTTACAGCACCATACCAGGACTCCTTGCATGTTGTTAATTGGTTTATTTGTTGCATTTGCTCTCTAACCTGATCCAAATTAATCTAACTGGCAGCCAACTTGCTCCCAGAGCTCAGGACTCCAAATCTAGTTTAGGGATCCTGAGGGAATCCCATCTGCCTGGTTTTTCCTTTGGCAGGTAGAGCAGAGCTCTCTCAGGTTGTATTTTCCTTTAAATGTGCACTCTCCCAATATGGACTCTACCTGTGTCTCTGGATTCTTTCTTGAGAATATCTCACCATTCCCGGTAAATGCACTGCCAATCACCTCCCTGTCAGTTGATGTTTGCATTTTGCTATAATGCTGACCGTGTTTCAGTGGAGCTTTCAGACTGACACAGACTAAGAAGAAAGACCTGGAGATCTTCTTCCAAAAAATCAAATCGCAATAGTCTGATCTCCAACTAATCATGGGGATGATGGGCACAGGACTGGGCAGTATTTTGTTCCATTGTGCATGGGTCACCATGAATTGAGGGCTGACTCAACAACCCCGTCTATGTGTGACTTGCTCACACACCGATGAAAGCACCCACTCCCAAAGCTCCCATTGAAGACTCATGGCTATCCTCTTATTCCCATGGCGCTGCTCCGCATGATTTGCATTTCAAAAGCAACACTCGCAGACTTAAATCTTCAAAAATACTTGAGACATCTCAGTTATTATTCAATAGAGATAACTCTTGTCCATGCTCTGGAATGAATGTCTTCCTTTACATTCATATTTACTGCTCTGGATATATGTGGATACTATACTATGACCTTAAGGAGCTCTGGTAG